CTGTACAGACAGGCCTTGCTGGGTGTTCCCACTCAGTCTACTAGTATTAGATCGTATCTTTTCTGTCTAGTCACATTTCAACATGGCTGTCAGTCATGCCCATCCAATAGAGTCTCCATAAAAGGTACAAGAGGATGGGGTTCAGGAGCTTCTGGAGAGCTGAATTCATGGAGGTTTCTGCAGGGTGGTATGCCCAGGAAGGGCCTAGAAGCTCTGAGTCCCTTCCCATACCACATCCTATGCATTTCTTTACCTGTATCTTCTGTAACATCCTTTATAATAAACCAATAAGCATAAGTCAGGATTTACCTGAGTTTTGTGTGCCACCCCAGCAAATGAACTGAACCCAAGGAGGAGGTCATGAGAACCCCAATTTACAGCTGGTTGGTGAGAAACACAGGTAAAACAACCTGGAGCTTGCAACTGGCATCGAAAGTAGGGGGCAGTTTTGTGGGACTGAGCCCTCAACCTGTGGGATCTGAGATTATCTCCAGGTGGAGTGTCAGAACTGAATTCAATTAGAGGATGCCCAGCTGGTGTCTGCTGCAGAATTGATTGCTTGCTTATTGGTGGGGAAAACCCCCCGAATAGTTGATCACAGAAGACTTCTGTGTTGACTGTTGTGGTGTGAAAACAGAGAAAATACAGTTTGTGTTTTTCCATTCAGGGATCAAGTTTGTGAGCAGAAACTGCAGTAAAATGCACAAAAAGCAAGTCCTATGAGGCGAGTGTGACCGTGTGCTGCTGCCATTTGATTGCTTTAATTAAAGAGAAGTAGCAGATGAAGTAATTATAGCCCTTCTCTGAGACGGTCTTCTTAACAAGGTGTTGAATGTCATTGAAAATTTTCTGGATTTTAAAACAGAAATACATTGAGACAGAGAAAGTATTTTGCACATTGCCTAATACATAGAGTACCCTCACTGTTAATTCCTCATTGTTACCATTCTTGTTGCTGGCTGTCTTAAAGCAGGGCGGGGCACTGATGGCTGATGTCAGCATTTCTCAGTATGGGCCCAAGGCACCCTGGTGCCTTGGAAGTGTTAATAATATCTGTACATGCATACAGATGTGCAGACACAGAGAATTATTTTCTTTCAAAAATTTATCTTTTAAAAAGGAAACTGACAAAGGATGTAGAATAACGGAAACATTTATCTTCATATATTTTGTTATAAATGCTTACCTAGTTTATATTTTCTTATTAACGAGAAGGGTATCTAAATAAAATATTTTCTTGAATTAATTTGTTTATGGGGCCATGCTTTTCCTGTTCTCGCTCAAGAGATCCTGTTGGTGTCCCACTTATACTTAATTGAGATACTGTTAGCCTGGAAAATACTGTCCTGATCAAGTTGACTGGAGCTGTATGGAAAAGGCCCTGGCTTTGGTAACCAGAGATTATGCCAGGGCCAGGGACCATCTTGAAATAAAGAGAAAGAAAGTATCATCCTGTGAAAAGGTCAAGGAGGAAGCCGTCTCGCCAGCTGTCTGCAAACCTCACTTCAAGGCAACCAACTGACAGAGGTATGAAAACAGCAGCAGGGCTAAGGAAACACATCTGTGAATGCCCAGACAATTGAGCATCATTGTTTAGGAGTTGGAAGGCCATCTCTTCCTGTGCATTTGAGGCAATTTTCTCTTGTGACATACTATGTTTCGTGTTCCTGAACATTTAACCTCTGGATTTGGACAGCAGAGACCTGGCCCAAGCTCATTCCTTTTAGGAGTCCTCAAATGGTTACTGAAAGTGACACTTTTCTAATTATTCTGTCAAGCATCAATCTCAGAAGTTCCAAGTTCTTCCATGCTCTGACTGACAGGGCAATCAGAACTTTACTTAAAGCATAAGCACCAACCTCTCCTGGACAGCAGGAGTGCCTCACATGTCCAAAGACAGAAAAATTCACAGCTCTAAGAAGGTAAGAAGCCCTTTTGGGCGTGCAATTTTACAAGTGTGTGTACGCATTCTTCCTGGGAATAGTGCTTTTTCATCTGGCATATCTTTGAAACGGGACATCCCCAATTCCAAATTTCAACCATCATGGCTATGATTTTACGTATGCGCTGCTGAAAACTCAATCAAAACGCATGGCCAAAAAGCCAGTCTCAAAGATCTCTCTCAATCAAGGCAGACCAGAGTGCGCAGGGAAGGAGCAGATGTCTACACTCCTTCAACTCCAAGTCAAAACTTATAATTCCACTTTCTTACACGCTACACTTCTGAGAGAAAAATGTGGGCAAAAGGAAGCACAGGAACTGTCACAACAAGAGAATATTCTTATTAATCACATTTAGGCAAATTCCATTTATTTGTTCTTCTCCAAAAGTGACCTCCATATATTAACAGATGCCCTACTTTACTTTGTCTTTTAGAAATCAGTTGCTTGTAATCTCTGAGACAATATATAGAAAGAGAAATGAGATTGGTGGATCAGTCTTCAACTGGTTTGAAGGTGATGGTAAAAGTCTATGAAAGCTGCCAGCATGGTGCTAAAAATCAAAAAGGCATGGCATAGGGACATGGGTTATATGATGAGTGAGAGCTGCCAGGATGAATCGGAAGAGGGCCTTGACAGTCAACTGCCTGAAATACATTACAGGGCTAAAGAAAGCAGGGCACCTGTGGTTATGTCCCTGATATAAGCAGACAGCCACCATATCTTCAAGATCCCAGAGGCACGGAGAAAAAGTAGGTAATTCAAATAGAGGCAATTTGGAGACACCTAGACTAATACAATTAGTCTCCAACTGGTCTCTGTTTTCTCTTCCTTTTCCATAATGCGTACTCCTATCTTTGTCTAAGATTTCATCATTCTGGTGCTTAAAACCTTTCAGAGGCTTCCCATTTTATCCAGAATGAATTCAAACTTCCTGATTTGGCTTGCAAGTCCTTTCAGAGCTGGGCCCAGCTTCACTCTCAGCGCCTCCTCACTCATTCTGCTCTGAAACACTCAGAGCTCTCTCCTGCCTTCGAGCCTTGGCATGGGCTTTTCCCCTGCTCTTTTCACTTTGCTCCAAATCAATGAGGTTCACTCATTTACATCATTCAGTCTCCACTCAAATGTCACCTCCTGAGAGAAGCCCTCCCTGGCCACTCCATCTACAGCAATTGCTGTCTCAATGCTAAGGTCATCAGAATGTACCTCAGATTCTGAACTGCAGGCAACATGACTGGCTGCACTGGGGGCAAGGCTATGCTTCCCCTGGGCTGCTCCCAGTTGAGTAGGGGCATCCAATCTTCCTTCCCTCTCTCCTTCACTCAGAGTCGGACCTACATCACAGTCTGATGACTGAGCCAACCTCTCCTGGCTGCTTTCCCATTTTCTTTCAAAGGGATTTCTGCTGATAAAATCCTTGCACATTTAATCCTGTCTTGATGGCATCTGGGACCCCAGCATATTTATTACTACCCTGTTTTACTATCTTCTTAGTACTACAGAAAATTATCTACGGTGGCACCCAGCAATCAGCATTTTCCATGCCCTTCAGGCAGTTCTTGGACATGCTCAAGTTTGAGAAACAGTGACCTATTGCTATATGGTTAATTATAGTCAGAGCGAGAATCACGACCCAGCTGCATGAATTCCCATTCATTTCTCAGGAAGCAGTACTCTTTTAATGACACATACAGTCCTTAGGTTGTATCTCTGCTTAAATAACCTGCTTTAAAAAATTGACCAGGCATGGTGGCTCAAACCTGTAAGCTCAGCACTTTGGGAGGCTGAGGCGGGTGGATCACCTGAGGTCAGGAGTTCAAGACCAGCCTGGCCAACATGGTGAAACTCTGTCTCTACTGAAAATACAAAAATTAGCCAGGCATGGTGGCCTATGCCTGCAATTTCAGCTACTCGGGAGGCCGAGGCGAGATAATTGCTTGAACCTGGGAGGTAGAGGTTGCAGTGAGCTGAGATAGCGCCATTGTACTTCAGCCTAGGTGAGAGTGAGACTTTGTCTTAAAAAAAAAAAAGAATTTATGCTGGTCGTATTTTTACATCCATTTAAAAAGATGGATTTAATAAAATGGGCATTAACATACTAGGTAAACTGAAGGAATTTCTAGAACACTGGTTTGATCAAGGCTGACTGCCTCCATGTATCTAACTGGCTTTGTAGCTTTTTAGGCAGTAAAAATAAACTTCTCAATGTATCCCCTCTTTTGTGAGGGAAGCTTAATCTGATGTTCTGCATTACTAACATGGAAAAGCAGTCATGGTATCAAGATGGCATCTGGCAAGATGAGATGGCACTGAAGTTTGTCGCTATCGATTTCTATGTGGCAAAATCTGGGTCTTGTTTTCCCTTTTCTCCCTTTCAATCAAGTACTCTCATCTCCAGGAAGAAATGCTACTGTTTTGGTACAGTGATTGCCCAACCACAGTGCAAGTAAGTGTGATAATGACAAAAAGGATTGATTACTATCAGGAAACATATGGACAGTAAGGTATGAAATATTACCCAGCTGAACATTCAAGATACAAAGATGTAACATGCTTTACTGCTTACAAAGGGAGGCAGCCATTGGGAAGTTTGCTTTCTCACATAAATCCTGACTATCTTTCCTTTGGGGGAAAAGTATATTAAATCTAGTCCATTAGAACATTTAGATACAAGTCAGGATTCTGACAAGTAGGAATATTTAATTTGTTTTGAATTAAGAATTGAGAATGGGAACTTCCACTATGATATGAATACAGAAACCCAGACCTTCCTTGCTAATTAATGACCTCTGGCCTACAAAGTCTTCAGGAGAATTTCTAAATGTTCTCTACAACTTTGTGTTTTCTCTTACCTCTTGAGATTGATAATATAAACACACCTCGCTACGCGATAATTATCCTCTGAAATCTAAGTTTTTACTATACTAGCTACAATCTCTCGTACATCAAAACAGCAGCTCTAGTATATTTTTCTCACCTGAAATATTGAGGAATAGGAAGTTATTCGGTTTCTCACAATTTTCTTAAGCTGAAAGGGTTTGGTCAAAGCACACGTCATACCTGCTTAATTTCCAGAGAGAACACCTTTGACAGGTGAAGCGAGAAAAAAGCTGCTCCACTGCCTTCCTACACATGGAAAAAAGATGAAATGTAAAGGCCTGCAATGACAGGTTTTTCAAATAGGGTTTTAGTAAAAGAATGTGTCTTTGGAAACTTAAACTGCAATTTTACCTTGAACAAGTATAGGATAGGATATCCTTTAAAGAGATGATTTGAAAACTATAAAATATTTATTCATTCAACAAATATCTAATAAGTGACTACCAGATCAGTATAACATCATAACCAAGAGTTACTGGAAATGAATAATAATTAAATATATAATATGGTAAGAGATATGTATGTTTTATCCTGTCATTTAATACTCATAGCAACCCTGCTGAGTTGTTACTATTAATACACCCATTTCACAGGCAGGAAAAAAAATAAGTCTTAGAGAAGTTAACTCACCTGGGAAAGTCACAGATGTAAGAGGGAACAGAGCTGGAATTCCAACCAAGGCTGACTTGTGTTTTTAACTATATGGTCTAACACCAAACTAAGTACCCTAGATTATATAATGCATGCTGTCAAGAAACGTTATTGGGAAAATAAAAAGGAGAGAAAAGAGCCATAACACAGATGCCCAAATGAGTGCTACAAGAGGGGCAAAAATGTGAAAAAGAGCAGGCCAGATGGTGTCAGATTCTGTATGATGTGTGGGTTGAGGAGATAGAGGAGGGAGTCTGGCCTCTGAGGAGGCAAAAAATCGAACTCACTCAAACTTGTTTTCTGAGTGAATCTTCAATTTGTCTAAGACTTTTCTCTGGAGTTAGGAATTTGCTAAAAAAATTAGCAGCACCTATTAGGTGCCAATATAGTATAGACATGGACCCTGTCTTCATGAAGGGCACAGTCTAGCAGAAAAAGTAAGGCAGTTTTCAAAAGACGGTCATGTAATATTTTCTGCTTCATACTCTTGCAGTGCAACTTTGCCATTCTCACATTAAGAGATGGGGTCTGTTTCTCTAACCCATTCAACTCCTTGAACCTGGGCAGGACCTGTAACTGCTCTAACAGAAGATGATAGAAGTGACACACTGTCAGTCCTGGCCTGGAAGTTTCCATTTCCTGCCTCTTGGGAGCCATTCAGTATAGATGATCACTCTGAGACCACCAGGCTATGAAAACACCAAACTACACAGAGAGATCATATGGAAGGTTAAGAGAAAGAAAAAGAGACAGGCCAAGGAGCAATGAGATGCCAGGCATACGAGGAAGCCATCTTGTGTGTCCAGCTTAATTGAGTCATCACATGGCTCTGGCTCCATCAACTGCAGCTGCATAGCAGACTCCAAGCAGGGGCTACTCAGATTAGCCATGTGAATCCACCGAAGCATGAAAGGTAGTGATAAATTGATGTTTTTAAGCCACTAAGCTTTGGGATGGTTTATTAAGGAAGCAAAGCATAATGGAATCAGAGCTGAATACAAAATTACCTGTATGACTACATAATTAAACTAAACAAGAAAGAGTATAATTTGAGAAATCCCAACAAGGAGCATGCCCTTGCCTTCAATCAGGTGTAAGGGGCTCAAACAAGGCTCTCTGCATAATTACATTCAGCTAAGACAGGAAGAGTAAGCTGAACAAAGAAAAACATGGGAAGGGAAAGTTTGGGGCAGAAGATGGAGATGCGCTCGCACAGTCTAAGTCCTGAAGACAGAGATGCGCTCACACATTCTAGGAAGGGAGACAAGATTAGTGACCAAATTAAAGCAGATGGATAAAAATTGGCATGAGGTAGGCTGGAAAGTTGGGCGTGGGCTAGCTCATTACGGAGTTATAAGCTATAGTAAGCAGTTTGAGCTATATCCCAAAAGCAATGGGAGCTAAGCAAAAGGATGGAAGAAAGATTTGTGGCCACTGTGACTGTCATGAGGGATTCAGGTGAAATCAATGGGGAACCTAACTGGTTCCCCAACTGGACATAAGTTCTTGAAGATCAAGGAGAGGATGCCCTGAAGGGACACTCAACCTTTACCCCAGACCTCACATGACTAGGAAGTTCTTAGCTATAATTTATTTTAAAATAATTTTTTTGGCCAGGTGCAGTGGTTCACGCCTGTAATTCCAGCACTGTGGGAGGATGAGGCTGGTGGATCACGAGGTCAGGTGTTTGAGACCAGCCTGGTCAACACGGTAAAACCCCGTCTCTACTAAAAAATACAAAAATTACCTGGGTGTGGTGGCACGTGCCTGTAGTTCCAGGTACTCGGGAGGCTGAGGTGGGAGAATTGCTTGAACCCAGGAGGCGGAGGTTGCAGTGAGCCGAGACTGCACCACTGCACTCCAGCCTGGGTGACAAAATGAGACTCCATCTCAAAATAATAATAATAATTTTTTAAAAAAAGATTATGGGCCGGGCGTGGTGGCTCACGCCTATAATCCCAGCACTTTGGGAGGCCGAGGCGGCACTATCATCTGAGGTCAAGAGTTCGAGACTAGCCTGACCAACATAGTGAAACCCCGTCTCTACTAAAGATACGAAATTAGCTAGGTGTGGTGGTTCATGCCTGTAATCCCAGCTATTCAGGAGGCTGAGGCAGGAGAATCACTTGAACCCAGGAGGTGGAGGTTGCAGTGAGCCAAGACCATGCCATTGCACTACAGCCTGGGCAACAAGAGTGAAACTCCATATCAAAAAAAAAAAAAAAAAAGTTATGTTGTCCAGGGAATTCACTTTCTCAATTCAAATTTTATATCTCACACAATGAGTTTAATTGTATGGTCTATACATAAATCTGATCTAATTCAGGGAATAGAATGTAACTAACTTTAATAAACTAAAAAAGAATGACACAGTTCGAATAAGAAACTTTTGAATGAGAAACTTAAATCCACTTTTCACATTTCATGTGGTACTCTCAGGCCCAAGTTAGCCAAAGATGTGCACATAATGAGCTTCTTATACTTCAGCCTCTGCTTTATTCCTCTGCTTATTCCTCTCATATACTTCAGCCTACTGAGTCTGTAACTGCATTTTCTTATTTACATGCTTTTCTCTACAATAATGCAATGGTTTGAATGTCCCCTCTCAAACTCATGTTTAAATTTAATTGCCATTATGCCAGTGTTAAGAGGTGGAACCTTTAAAAAGTGATTAGGTCATGAGGGCATAGCCATCCTCAAATGCATGAATGTCTTTATTGCAAAACTTAGTTAGCTGGAGTGGGCTCCTGATGAAAAGATAAGTTCAACCCCCATTTTCTCTCTGTATCATACACTTTCTTGCCTTTTCACTTTCTGCCATGGGATAATGTAACAAGCAGGCCCTAACCAGATGGCTGAGCAGGTGCTAGCATCATGCTCCTGGACTTCCAGCCTCTAGAACTGTAAGCCACATAAGTCTCTTTTCTTTATAAATTACACAGTCTGTGCTATTTTGTTATAGCAGCAGAAAATGAATTAAGACAAATGCCTAGGAGTTTTCAATTGTCACCACTTAGATAGACAGATACCCATTGCCATCCTTTCTATCCTTGCCCTACACACCAAACGTGTGAAATAGGGGAGCTGCTGCTTTTCAAGCACAGCTGTTACAGACCTGAAATACCCCATTCTTCTGTTGTGCCTGTTAACTGGGAGGGTGATGGGTTATGTAAAAAGGGACACTAGAGCAAGAACCCACAAGAGCACTGCAAAAGAAAAACCTGGAGAAGATAGAAAATATTGCTAACACCGTTGGCATCAGAGTGGTGTTCATTTCAATTTTGTTTCCTTTGGTGTATCCTCTAGATAAGCAAGAGTTACTGGAGAAATCATTATTTACATCACATTACTGGTGAATTGAGATGGTATTCAAATGGCATTTGGCCAGAGAACCCTGGGAAGTCTGAAGCCTTCAGCTGTGTTTATGAGGCTGCCACACAAGGGTGATGAGGGAAATAAATGTACAAGCAAAGTAAGGCTAAGTAATATGACCTCTATTATCAGCTGAGGTGAGAACCCCCAAATTTTTGTAAGACAGAATAACTGTGTTGAGGGCTTCTTTATCCCAGTTAAGTTAATGACATTAGGACATCACACTTGCCCTCTCAACTTCCATGACCCAACTGCAGCCCCTCTAAATTCAAGCTCCTTAACTTACCACTCCATTGAAACCAGAAAGCTTCACTCTTCTACAGTTACAGGAAAAGTAGCCAGAAAGAAAGACAGAGAACTCTCCATAAATGGCTAAAACTGGTCTGGTAGAGGCTGGCCTAGCCTTTTCTGGGGCAGAATACAAAAAGGTATGGGAGAGAAATGATGATGACGATGAAGAGTAACAAGAAGGCAAATTAATTTGGCCAGTTTTAGGGGAGAACCTGGTCTGTACCCTCAGCCAGGTCCTGAGGGTAGCAGAGAAGGGACAACATGCCTGGGCTCTGGATCTTTTAACCAAACCCGGCAGCTCCATTCACCAAGGCCAACTAAATATGCTTTCATGGAACAAACCACATCCATAACTCTCCTCATCCTTGTAGTAGTTTCGTGAGAGGTGAGAAAACAAGTAGACACAAAGAACTTGTTCCTCCAGAGGCCACAATGTGATTAAAGAAAACATATTAGATATATGCATACACTTCCCTATGTTTAGAGTCTTTAATGACCTTGTTTTAAGACAATTATTTTCACAAAATTACTAAAAATAATTTGATATTACATTATAAATGGATAAAATCACTGAAAAAAAAAAAACTCAAGTCTAGTTTCATATTGATTTCCTACTTTGTCCATCCATGAAGACATATAAAATGAGTCCACTAGGAACAAGCAAACAACTTATTTCTTAGACTCTAATTTGAGGCATTGTTAACACAGTGATGTCCATTTATTCTATATATGGAAACAGTGATGTCTAAAAAATTCACACGTCCATATTTTACTATTGACTTATACATTAAAAAATAATTTTTTTAAAAAACAAGACCATATTTCCTTTCATGCTGGATGTGAAGTCTGTAGCAACCACTAAGTATCATGTGTTAGATCTAGATTGGAAATCTGGTAATCAAAGACATATTACAAGATATACTGGATTTTAT